CTGCTGTAAAATAGAACCTTTCCTTTCCTTATCTCAAAAACCTCTCAAAATCTTAGTTTACTGCACAAAATTTAAGCAGCTTTTGCTAACACCTTCCACTGATTTTATAACAACGACAACGACGGTTTAATTCTGCTCATTATTGTCTTTACAAAAGCTTGCACCCTGTAAATTTCCTGTCATAAGATTGTAAAAACTGTCACTTCATTTTAATTTTCATATTTATTTAAAATTTGCTTCCCTCCTTTTTTTTCTTCTCTCCAATGTAAAGGTATTGTTAATCCCCAAGTGACGTTGGTGCCTATGTGTTCAAAATGATTGGGTAGACTGGTGTTTAACAGCTCCTTCGAATGGACTACTTTCTACAGCCGCTTGCGTTAGACTTATGCTACTCAACCCACGTTATTTAGTCTTATCTGTATCCTCAATGGTTATTTTTTGATGATCAAAAAAACAACAAGGAACAGAAATACCTGGAACAGCAGGTCGTGAAAAAAAAAAGCTGGCGACTTTAGTAATCAATATAATATTTGGCGTGGACCTTTTTTTATTAGCCTTTTCAAAATCTTCTGATTGCTCTCTCGGTTTTGAATTAAAAAAAAAAAAAGAAGAAACATATAATAATAATCAGAACCATTTTTTGATCTTGCACATTTTCCCATATGTTGCTAAAAGATAATATTTCATTTACATAACCAGTTAACCCCTATTTCGTACTCCTACTTCTTCGCATTCTCTCCTCTGCCTCTCAACTACAATTCATTTTTATGGTAATCAAAATTTTCTTCTACTACTTTAAAAAAGAAAATCAACGAAATTACCGTAGGGAGGAAAAAAAACATTGCTTTTGTTGCAACAGTACTTATTTAAGATGTTTGTTTAAAACACGTTAAAATGTAGACAGTCCAAAGCACAAAAGAAGAAGAGGAAGAAGAAATATTGAAAAAAAATTAGCAAAGTAGAAGGAAAAGAAGAAAGCAGAAAAAAAAAAACTAGGAGACTTTTCCTCCAAATCTACCTTTTTTTTTTTTCTGATTGTTCGTTGAAGGTCGTCTAATATTTGGCATCTCATTTTTTTCCTTTCTTTGTCGAGCGATCAACGTTATCACGTTTATTTGGATACTTAAAAACCGATCATAGTCTTCTTTTTTTCCTCGGTTTTCTTTCCATACAAAACTTTTCGCTCAAATCATCGCATTCTTCTTTGGCTTTTGCAGCTTATTTTGTGAATGTAGTTGCAGAGTACCTGAAAAAAAATATGGGATAATAAAAACGCAAATGAACACAATTTAAGTATTTTTTTAAACATATAATAAACCATCTTTATAACTGTGTTACGTAATTAGCAATGATTAATTGGGAGACAGAAGAATAACTGTCTGAACGAATAACCAAAACGCTTTATAAAGCTGTTTTTTTTTTTGTTGTTGCTGTTGTTCACTTATCATTTCTGAATGAATATAATGTTGCAATAGGCGTCCAGTTTTTTAAATTTTAATTTTGGCGCCAATTAAAGTTTCTTAGGGGCTTTTTTTTGTTTGAAAAAAAAAGGGGGAGGGGGGGGGAAACCGAAGCAAAAAAAAAAAAAACTTTGTGATTGTCGGCTTTTATGCGATTAGTGTCGTTGTTTTTGTGTGCAGCGTTCAGTGATCTGCTGGATCCTCAAATGTGTGTAGCGTTCGGGTGTGCATCTGTAAACGTCGTTGTAACAGTACGGTGGACCAGTAATGTTTCTGTTGCTGAAGGATCGTCATCGTCAGCAGCATCAAGATTGTCATCATAATTGTGACAGTAATAACAATAATAATAATAATATTAATAATAATAATAATAATAATATAATAATTATTAGTAATAATCATTCTCATCCTCCTTCACCTCCTGGGCCTTCTCCTGAACACCATCAACTGCAGCGGCAGCATCATCATCTCAGGTGTCATCTTGCAGATTTATTAAAATTCATGCACTTACACTCTTCGGCATCTAAATTCGGTTCAGAATTTAACAATATATTTTTTGGTTAGTCTTACTCTTGTTTTATTTATTTTTTATTTATTCATTCTACTTTTTAGTTTAATAATATTCTGTTATAAGTCAGCACAGCAGATGCTTTAGCATTTTTCTTCGTGTTTTGTTTTTTTTTCCTGATGTGTATTTGTGTGCTTTTTTCCTTTTAAAAATTTTTTAAGGAACATTTACAAGATTTAACTTTTTTTTTTGACAGTAATTTGCCTTCATCGTTTGAGTGTTTCTTTTGCTCAAAAAAAAGTTTTTTTTTTTTAAAACAAAAATTTTATTTATAGATATGAGCATTTGTGTGTATGCGTGGTCATTAGACCAAACTAAAGCGTTCACCTCTTTTGTAGAGGTTTATTTCATATAAATAGACCAAGGGGAGGGGAGGAGGAGAAAAAATTCTTTTTCTGTTAAAAATTTTATTTTGTACAAATAAAAATTTGAGACTTTTCCTCGATTTATTAGCGAAATAATATCATTTTAATGATATCCAAAAAAAAGAAGGCAACAGAAAGACAAACATGCAGCATTTTTTTTTCTTTTTTTTTTTTTTTGTGTGTGTGTGTGTTATCTTTCGGGGAATTATGCACAATAATTTTTAGGTATTTGTACTTGTTTTTTTAATTTTTATTGTTCAAGCAATTTTTTTAAAGTTTTGATCGTTTAACGACGTTGGTGTCTTGTCTAAAATTGTTTACCTGGTTTCAGCAGTTTTTAACCTCACCGAAATGCCCCCTTTCCGTTTTAAAAGGTCGCTATCACTTCCACATTTTTATCGACCATCATCGGTAAATATTTTGATTAATGTATTTCTTTGTTGATTTTTTTTTCTTCTGATCTTTTGATTAGTTTGTTTTCCTTTTTTTTTTTTTTTTTTTTTTTTT